GCTTTTGCTCTATTTTGCTCTCTGCTCTCTTCTCGCGTAAAATGAAGGAGAGGAAGAGGAATTTTTTTATATATTGAATTGTAAAACGTATTCTCAGAATACATTTTACAACTATTTAATTGTAAAATGTATTCTGAGAATACGTTTTAATTAAATATATTTTTTATATCAAACGCATTTTTATTGAAAACCGCATTCACGTTTTCCCCTATTTTTTTTCAATTAAAATGTATTTTGAAAATACATTTTACGAAAAACGTATTTTGACAATACGTGTTATAAAAATGTGTTTTAGATTTTTTTTTAATATTCAAATTTTAACGGAATTGTTGTTTTTTTAAAAATTTACAAAAATAATTATAACACGTATTCTCGAATACGTTTTTCTAATAATTTTTTTTAGAAAAATGTATTACGAAAATACGTTTGTTTGATTTTGTTTCACTCTTTTTTTTTTTCTGTCCACTTAATTTTTTGTTTTTTTTAAATATATAAACTACTCCTTTATAAAGGTAATTGTTAATTAGTTTGGAAAAAAGTACAATTATTGGGAACTTGTAGAAATATCGTACTTTCCAATTAAAAGCAATTAAAAAATGTAAAACAATTATTGGGGAAAATGTCACGTGAGGGTAAAATTAGATCTTTATATTTTATCTTATGTCTGCTCCTACCAAGTAAATGCAAGATCAAAATAATCACCAACATTATCTTAAAGTTTAGTCTTACATAACAAACAAATGACTAATCTAATCTCAATATACAATCTTGCTTTTCAAGATTAAATTAATCTAATATCATTTAAGAAAGCAAACATGCCCTATCAGTTAACACAATATGCGAATTACGATTGTGCATCGGAACATATGGTCAATTCCGCCAATGTCCCCAAAAATATTTGAACACGACTTACTACACACACATGCACAGTTCCAAAGAAGATTATGCTGTTATAAAAGAATTTTAAACTCGCCAAAAAAGAGCCTTCGATCTTTTTGTTTTTGTTTTTGTTTTCTTTTTTTTTTTAAAAAAAAAATAAAAAAATCAACACTATATTTCTTCATTTGCATTTATATAAGATTCGCCACTCGCATAGCAGCATAATTTCATCTTTTCCCCCTGTAACTTTTGTTATTCCCTTTTTCATCCTTCTTCTCCTCGAGCTTTTTTCTTTCCCCCCCACTCACTCTCTTTACCTTCCTCTTGAATTTTCTTCGATTTGTTGATCTGCCTAGACTGCCTTTTCTTTTAAACAACCAGTTTTCTGATCTCAAATCTTGAAATTGTGTGGGATGATCGACGACTTAAATATCTCCCGAAGAGAATTCAAGAATTGATTTTTCATGAGATGGGCTGCTTCGAAAAGCTGAGAAAACGCTGTGGAAGTTGATTTTTTTTTTTT